CATCTCCCCTAGGACATGATTTCTCTCTTTCTGTCTCTCCATCTCCCTCTATCTCTCGGGCAAATGCACACACCCCATAGCAAAAATCTCTCTCTAAAAAAAAAAAAAAACCAAGAATAAAATTTCTCTAAAGTAGATAAACAAATGTTCAACAAGGACATGCGAAGATGCTCAGTATCACTCATCATCACAGAAACAGAAACCAAAACCACAACGAGCTATCACTTCACACCCATGGGATGACTAATATAAAAAATACAGAAAACTGGGACCAGCAGTTAGCGTAATGGCTATGTCGCTGGACTCCCATGTAGTTGACCACGGTTCAAGTCCTGGACCCGGCGGCTTAAACTCATGCTGGGCGTGTGTGCGTGCGTGCCCAAGATCCTGAGAAGAGAATGGAGAAGGGATTGCGGTGTGGCCAATCCACCCTGGGGGGTGATTTCTTGTTTTCTGTCTCTGCCTCTTTCTTGCAAGGACAAGCACCCTATAGAAAAAAAAAATGCAGAAAATAACAGGCATTGGTGGGAGATGTGGAGAAACTGGAACTGTCAGGCACTTTTGGCAGGAACGTAGAATGGGATAGCCGCTGTGGGAACAGTGGTGATTCCTCAATGAAACAGAAAATGTGATCGGAGTCTCATCCTGCTATGATCCCTTCCCTCTGCCTCCCTGCTCGTGAGGATCTGTTATGCCAGTGTGCATGCCAGCAATCTGCAGGCCCCCCCCAGGGATCCGAACTCGTGGGAAGGCATGTGGCTTCTAGCTCTGCAGTAAGGGACATTCTGACCATGCTACAACATGGATGAACTTCGAGGGCATTGTACCAAATGAAATAAGCCAGTTACAAAAGGACAAATACTGTACAATCCAGTTATAGGAGGTGTCCAGAGCAGTCAGACTGAGAAACAGCAAGCTGATTGCTGGCTGTCAGGGCTGCCGGGAAGGGGGAGCGGAAGCTGTTGCTCGGTGGGTGTAGACCTATCGGTTACAAGAGGAGCAAGTTCTGGGGATTGGCTAGACGACACGGACACACTTCCTAGTGTACTGTACATTTGCAAATGGTTAAGGGGATCAACACTATGTGTATCTTATTGTAATTTAAAAATTGAAGTCACTGGGGCCTGCAGGTGGTGTGGTGGTTAAGGATGCTGGATCCCACATGGCCAGCCATGGTTCAAGTCCCAGATCTGGCGGCTTGCTTTCTCACTTTCCCTCTCTCTTACTCTGTCTCCCTCTGGTCACATTAAAATAAATAAATAAAGTTAATTTTTTTTAATTTTAATTTTCAATTAATTAATTTTACATTCATTCACTGAGCATTGTCACAGCATACAAAATGTGATTTCCCATTCAGAATAGTGGTTTAATCATACATGTTATCATTGATAATTTTCCACTTATAATTTCATATATATGTATATATATATTTCCCCCTTATTTCTTCTTTCTTTTTTTTTTTTTTTTGATAGGTTTTTACTATAGGGCACGTGCGCTCGCCAGACAGACAGAGAGAGACATAGAGACAGAAAGCGAGAAATCACCCCCCAGAGGGGATGGTCATGCTGCAATCCCTTCTCCTCCATTCTCCTCTCAGGATCTTGGGCACACACACATACGTGCCCAGCGTGAGTTTTAAGCCACGGTCCGGGACGCGAACCGCGGTCGACTACGTGGGAGTCCAGCGACATAGCCATTACGCTAACTGCTGGTTCCCAGTAATCTAACTACTTTCAATAGCAAGATCAGCTGATATATACGTATCTGTGAATAAATGTCTGACTTTAGGCATGAAGCTCTGAGTAGTATGAATACACTATTAAGTGGCACCTAGCTGAGGCTATATAGCTTACTGCAGTCATTAAATAGGGATTTTTAAACACATTTTTTAATTTCAAGAAAAGCAGTTTTAACTTTAATAAATCAAAATCAAAGAAATGCTAAGAGAGCTTTGCTTAAAACTTAAAGCCAGGAAACAGGTTAGGATTTTGTTCAAACGGTAGGTGCATGAACCTATCGGCAGCTCAAGACAGGATGAAAATCCTTAAATCCGGAAAACAAAGCCTAGGAGAAAATCGGCAATTTTTCAGTCAAAAGTCATAAGATTCGATTTCGCCAGTTCAGTCTCATGTACTTTATCTTCTGTTGTGGTCCAATCTTTCCGATTAAATTCTGGGATATAATATTCAGCTCCAGACTTGTCCCTACCACTAAGTTGGCCATTTTCTTAGTTGTTTTTAAACTCTTATTTCTGTGTGTCTGTATTTAGTTCTCCTGATTAAAAAAAGAATTCTTTAAAAATAATTTTAAAAATAAAAATTTACGTCACTAAACACCTAACTTTTTCAGAAATTTTTCTTCAGTTAAGTTTACCATTTAGAGGTCAAGGCGGGTCAGTTTTCATATCTTTTTTTTTTTTTTTTTTTTCCTAATGTTTGCTATAGGACATGTGTGCTTACCAGAGAGAGAGAGAAGGAAAGTGAAAAGTCACCCCCTCCCCCTGAAGATGGCCACACCACAATCCATTCTCCATTTTTCTCTCAGGATTATGGGCATGTCCGGGCACTGATCACCAGCTTGGTTTTTAAGTCCCAGGGCCTGGGACACAGACTGCGAAGTCAGCCAAGTGGGATCTAGTGCCTTAACCTCCATGCCACCTGCTTGCCTGGTTTTCATATTTTTTAGAGTTAGTACACTGGTGAACTGCATGGTTTTCTTTTTTTTTTTCTTGAGTCATTCTCTCCCCCGCCCCCTTGGCATTTGCCATTATCTAACATGTATTTCACTCATTTGTCTGTCTGTCTCCCTGTCAGAATGTAACTTCATGAGGAGAGGATTTTCTATTATACTCATTGAGAAGTAAGTCCTTTGGGTAGGAAAAGCACAAATAACCACAGCATTTTTATTACAGTAAACCTGCTTTATTATGGCCACCAAACTACCCCAGCCAGTGCCTGAGCGACTGTCCTGATTAAATCCATTATTCAAAAGGAAAAAAAAATTACTATGTGCAAAACTTTTTTTTTTTTTTTGGAGAGGTTTTTGCTATAGGGCGCATGTGCTCGCTAGTGAGCAGAGAGGAAGAGAGAGACAGAAAGCGAGAAATCACCCCCCAGAGGGGATGACCATGCTGCAATCCCTTCTCCTCTGTTCTCCTCTGGGAATTTTGGGCACTCACACACCTGTGCCCAGCATGAGTTTTAAGCCACCAGGTCCAGGACTCAAACTGCAGTCAACTATGCAGGAGTCCAGTGACAACCATTAGGCCATTAGAAAACCTCGAGTACATATGACTTCAACGCTGAATATTAAATATGCCTTAAATTTAGACAATAGCGCTTATTATATTTGGAAAGAGTTCAAAAAGTGTATTTTATTATGATGATCCCAAATGGAAAGGTCTTGTATTATCGGTAGCTATGATGTTTCTTGCAGTGAGAGTTTAGAATTTTCTGGATAATCCTTCCTCAAATGATCAAGGTTAAGATTCTAACTAAATAAGGCTAGGAAGAACTGAAGTGTGATTACATTGGCTCTGCAAATATTGGGAAGTAGCTCTGAGTTTGCCAATAGTGTAAGAAAAGCTTCAGAATATGTATGCAAATTTAGCAAATTGAATTGTTTTCCCCATGGTACTATGAATAAAAAAGACATTTGAACAAATCATAGGTTCATAGAAAATCTCTAGTTTTGCAGTCTCTTTTCTCAATAATGAATGAACTTTCAATAAAAAGTACTTGGAGACCTTGGGCGAAAAGCTTATTTTTCCCAAGATTAAAGTGCAGGTGGGTCAGAGCAATTCCTGGAGTGTCTGGAGGTTCTGACTAAATGAATTCCTACCTAAGCTATGAAGTTACAATAACTAAAAGGGGATGATTTACCTCCTACCAAGGCCTTTCAAATGAAATATAAACAAAATTGAAGCAGAGAAAATTTTGCAAAAACATTTGGTGTTGAAGTGAAAATGACCAACACTTACATGATTTTCTCGTTTTACTCCATGGACTCCCTACTGAATTTACACAAAATTCAACCCAAGGAAACCTTCATGCCTCTGCATTAGAAAGAGATAACCTATATGTCAGAATTTGTAAACTTCTGTGCAGACGCTATACATCAACAAGACTATGCATTTTACAAGCCGAGTAAACAAAACGTTTAAAAATACCCAAGGTTTATTACTACTGCCGTGACATCGAGTCCATAAACTTTGCAATTTGGCTGAAAACATGCAGACCCGACCGGGGTGTTTTTGCAACAGTTTAATAAGAGATGTAGAGGTCATTCCTGCAGCTGTCCTCACGCAGCTCAACTCGTCACTGAATTTCTCCACCACTGCTTTTGAATAGCGGTCGTTTGCTATTTCAGGGCATTCC